GCCCCGCTTTCAACAAGATGGCCGATGTGTTTGGCTGCGTGTCGCATCATGGCGGTGGGCAGCTTGGCCGTGAGGTACTGACGAAGCGCGTCGCGCGCTTGGGTCAGCGTTGCCCCGGTGGGATCGGCTTCCATCGCCATCGCCTCATGTCCGCGCTGGTCAGAGGGGTTTGTTAAACAAAACGTTTACTTCACTGCACCGATGAGCACGTACCACAATTGCCACCAGTCGCTCGAGCTTGCGAAATGGCTCCGAGGTAGGGTTTCCTGCCCATGCCTCATCCTCCCCGAACGCTAAATACATTCCATCGATGAGGGACTTCAGGATAGACTCTGCACGAGCCACAGTCCATTGGATCTCTTGGGCGTCCATGCTTGCGTCGCTGGTCTAGTAGGTGCGATGGGTAGTGGTGTGATGGTACGTGGACGGTATGTAGCGGACGCAGGAGGCTGCATCGCGAAGGCATGCAACACTACGATGATCGGCCTCCGGCCCGAGTGGCAGGCACGCGTCCGATTCAATTCGCACACTATTCTCCGATGGGACATGTGGTGCATGTCCCAGAAGTGGCACAAATTCCACTAACAGTTTCCATTACATAGTCAAACGTCAGCAGACGGATCGGAACTCGCCAGGGTCTGCATCACATTACCTGTGTTGTGATGTGTTGGATGGGGTCAAGGACCATTGTGCGGTTGAAGTGGAAGACTCGCGACAGCGTTTTTGGCCACATGTACGACTTCAATGGCTTCTAAGGCGCTGTCAGACCACTGGTATGCTGTACAATTAGCTCTGGCACTGCAGAGGTTGGAAAATAACTATTGAAATTAGTTTGAATTTGAGAGCACCCGCGTGATTCGCATTGGTACTTCTATCTATCCGGCGTGTGTGCTGTGGTGGTGACAGCATCTGGATATTCTATTGTTGACAATTCAATGGCAGACCATTGGTGCGTGATAAGATCACCTCGGGCGCTCGGGGAGTTGACGAGCCACGACTGAAGTTAGTTGGCATTCGCGAGCGCATGCCCAACTGGTATTGGCATTTCTGTCGACATGCGGCATCATCCGCCCCTTCCCTCCCGCGATCGAGAGCATATTCCAATGTCCAGCGTCCATGGCACTTCGAATGGGGTGGTTTAGGATCCGGCCGGAGGGTCCACCGTATCCCGGAATGTGCTGCGACGGAACGGACGGTCCACGCCCGGAATAGACGCCATCCATCTGGTGTTTGCTCCGGCTCTGATCATCGGACGCCCACCACCGCCATTGCATTGCCCGCCAGCGACGGCCTCGCCCATTGGCGTGCATCATGAGTACCACATTTGATGCTGAGTTTGTCCAACGTCTCAAGGCTCTACGTGATCAGTGTGATTTGCTCCGTCAGACGCCTTTGCAGCGACAAGGAGATGTCATGAAAACGATTGCAGCTGATCTGGCACGTCCACAATGCAGTCCATCGTCGGTGTAGACATTGTATATTGATGCGTTGACCACAGGTCGACATCAAAGCTACTTTCGGCGGTGACGACTTGACGCATGCTTGGGGCGACGTGGATAATCTGCTGAGCGACGAGCAGGCGAAATTCATTCGATCCTTGTATTTCACAAGGACGGCGTCAGGCGCGATCTCACCTCTCTCACTACCCGGTCTGATGTTAACCACTCCATTTCATCCATTTCAGAACCTCCTGCCCGTCCAGCAGCCGTTCGCCAAGGTCGCCATACGCTGCGAGACGCATCCCCGTCCCTCCATACGCGCTCGATGTCACGCCCATCTGAGACGCATGGTCCCGACGCAAGCACGCTATCGTTGGCGTCAGTGGCACCCACCCCATCGCCGTTGCAAACTCCGATATCTGCGCAGCCCGAGCGAGCAACATCGAAGACAATGCCGCCATTGCCTAGTCGACCAGGCATCGTCACGCATGTCCCAGAACCGATTGAGCCTCCGTCGCATGGGGTCAAGGCTGCTACCGATCCGTCGCGCTCAGTCCCTGGACGGCCACCCATGGGATCGACTAGTGTCACGGGTACCATTGATGGTGCGAGCAGGGACGACCAGCCTGATTCATTGTCTTCCGTGAAAGGTACGTCCATCGATCGGGTTCCAGGTGTGATGGAATTAATACCTCCGTTGATGCAGGTCCAGTGGCGCACGCCACACCCCAGGCTCCTGTGTCACAGGTATCGCAGTCGCTGGGAGTGCCGCATTTGGCCGGAATACCCCCACTGTGGCCATCGTCCGCCCATACCGCCAATACGGCCTCCAGCACGAGCCATCCGGTGTCCAGTGGAGGCGCTGCTGGCACTCTGCCTCGGCCTTGGGCAGCTCCCAGTGGTGGCCAGAACGCTCCATCGCCACAGACGAGGCCGACCACCAATCCCATATCGCAGAGGCCCGGTCCCATCGTCAGCGGGATGATGGATCCTACTCCTGGCCCACTGCTACAGCTGGGAACGTCCGCCGCAACGTCTAGCATGGCAGGTGCGTATGGCGGCCGCCGCCCCACCGTCACACCGTTCCACACCTCACCCATGGCATTGCTGCCGTCGTACTAGGTACGGCCGATGACGGAGAGTTGATGAACCGTATGAACATGATCGAGTCTCAGCTTCCGTTACTGAAAGAGCGGGCGATGCAACTGGAGCGCAAGTATCTCCGCGCGCATGACGCATGCGCGCGATATGAAGCTGCTGCTGCACAGGCAGTGAGTACCGCGCAAGAGGCGCTAAAGCGGTCGCAGTTCTTCGAGGACGGGCTCACACAGTACCGGCAGCTCATAGATTAGGGTTAGGGGTTAGGGTTAGGGTTAGGGTTAGGGTTAGGGTTAGGGTTAGGGTTAGGGTTAGGGTTAGGGTTAGGGTTAGGGTTAGGGTTAGGGTTAGGGTTAGGGTTAGGGTTAGGGTTAGGGTTAGGGTTAGGGTTAGGGT